AAAGGGAGACACTTTTGACCATGTACTTCAGACTACCAACGCTAGAAGCCTCAAACTTAGCTTCTTGTGTAATCCTCATTGAGACTACTGAACTCATCATCTTCATGCTTGTATTGCTTTAATTGTAAAGATTTAAAGTTTGCCGTTTTAAATGTTGGATTCCTGTTCCATTTAACTCTGGAGGTTTTTTTTTGCATTTTCTGTCGTCGGAAATGTGCATCCAGCCAAATCTGTATATGGGGCTGTGAGTGTGCATTACTTCTAACAAAGGAGATGCCCCTTCCCGGAGAATGCTGATTGTGGGTTTTGAGGATCCCGTCTGTTAGTCCGTTGAAGGCCCCACATCCTGGCTACATCTTGTGATCAGACTGGTGAACTGTTCCCATCATAGGTCCTTGTCCCAAGTGGAGCCTGATGACTTTGCTAACTGGGACATGAGGGCTGGAGCCCTGGTATTTGAATTCCTATGAAACAGCAGTGGATAAACTATCATCCTCTCTCCTTTCAGGGGACATCAGAAACCTGCTAAAGTGGATCAAACAGAATCTATTAAAAGAGAGACCAGAATTATTTATTCAAGGGGACACAGTGTAAGTACAGATGGTGAAGACTTTGCTCATGTTTCCCTGTCCACAAGTTCCAGTGCATATATCTTACTGCTGGTGGTGGGAAGAAGGTTCTATCAGACACATGCTAAAAGGAATGGCACGGAAGAGGATACTCTTGAATGGGAATAGGGGAAAAAAGTCAGTTCTACTAGTCTCCTGCAGTGTGACCAAAGGTAGATCACTTAACTTCTCTGATAGGGATATAAAATTCTGTTAGTTAAACGTTGAAGATAATCAGTTAGCTGACTAAACGGGAGGTGGATAGGGATGCTGGCCAGATTGGAGCAACCCCTGCCGCGGCGGAAGGGGGGGGAGGGTTGCTGCAGTTCCCGCCAGTAAACTATAACCAATAAGCATTACCCATTAAGGGTGATGCTTACTGGTTAACCATTCACACCTCTATCCTCTGTGCTTCACTATTCCCATCTGTAAAATGGGGCTAAATACTACCCCATGGGAAGAATGGGAGGTTTCTTTGTAAAGGGTGCATTGATTTCCTCTGAGACTAGTGCAAGTGCAAAGCAGTACTGTAGTGGTGGGAGGATGGGTTAATATTCTAGAGAATTACCCAGATTGGGAAGCAATGTGTCTATTCTGCCAGGTCTGACTATCAGAACACCAGCTCCTTCTGAACCTAAACTAAACCCAGGCCAGTTCCACAAAATGTCTCCTCACAACCCACTGCATGAAGTCCCAAGTCTGAAGAAGGACCACTCATGGCTTCCTTCCCTTCCCTGTCACCTGGGGTACTGGCATTGCATAAAGATAGCAGGGTTGAGCTTTTAGCAAGTAGACGGTCCCTCGGTTCCTGCGATGTGTCTGTGGTGCACTGTGCAGTCACTCTGAGAAGCACCAACAAATAGATCTGCTGGGAAATTATTTTATTTTTAAAACGGGGCCAATCTTGTGGAAAAAGACCAGAAGAAATGGAGCACAATGTGCTGTGTAGGCCGCTCCCCCTGCAGTGAGGAGGTTGGGGTGTTTAACATTCTTCACTGGTCTCTGTGAGCTGAAGCGTGTGCCAGGTCCCCTGGTAGCAGTAGAGACAATTGCAGGATACTGAAGGGGAATTCCTTTCCCTCTAATCAGGAGCTCTGAGTTGATCCTAGGTGTTTACAACCTTTGGCAGCAGCACTACAATTGCTTTTCTAAGCTCTGAATTGACCCCTCTGCACTCGATTTCAGTGCATGGGCTTTAATTACCTGGCTTTTCTATATTGTATTGAAATGTCATCTCAGAGCCTTCTCATGAATGGTGTCTTCTGATTCAAATGAGCTTTGGGATCAGTCGTGTTTCCCCTTTTATTAGATCTAAAAGGGCACTGCCTGTACCTATTTCTACTTCTGTGCTTTAACTCCTTTTTCACATCAGCTTTACAGAAAGTCCTGCCTGTGATCTGCTTTTTAACAGCTGGTGGTGCTAACTCTGCAGCTTTTTGCAATCCTGTTTCCTGACAACTTCTCTGTTCTGCAGGCGACCAGGAATTTTGGTGCTCATCAATGATGCAGACTGGGAACTTATGGTTTGTACTACTTCCATTTTCTTTTCTTTTTTATGTTGTTCATTCTGACTGGTGGCCATTCTTCAGGAAGCTATTCCAGATTCTTTTCCCCATCTCTTAGCCATGCTTGAGATAACCACTTGCTTAGTGGTGGAACAACATGGCTTCACAGCTTTGGGCAGTTGAGAAGCATTGATTATAATAAGATGAGCCCGTGGGAGGTGAAGACTGCATGTTTTGGATAACATGCCCAGGTGAGCCAAAGGAAAATGCTGAGGTAGAACAAAGCAGATCTGTCCCTTGGGGTTTTTGCTACTCTAGAACTATTTCTATCTATCATTAAAGCAACGAAGAATTTTTCCGTCAACTTACTGCTTTCTAGCTGTTGGCTTAACTATGTTGCTCAGGAGTGTGGATTTTTCATGCCCTGGAGCATTGTAGCTGGGTCAGCTCATCCTTTCAGGGCAGATGTGGCCTAGCTAAACAAGGTAATGTCTTCCCCTCCCAGGCCACCCTCACAGGCAGATGATAAATAATCACTAACTAGTCTGCTGATATAATCATCAGCTCTGAGAGTGGCATATCCCCATAATAGTGAATGTCTGAGCTCTCCCTCCTGTCTACCCCACCTCACCTTGTTAAGGACTAAACCTTGCTTTTCCCCGTGGAGTCCCTAGTGCTCAGGCATGTTATGAGCCATTCTTCTTTTGACACTTCTATTTGGAAATGCCTAACAAATAATTTCTCCTTCTTTCTGTATCTGCAGGGAGAGCTGGACTACAAACTCCAGAACCAGGATAATGTGGTTTTCATTTCGACGTTGCATGGAGGTTAAGCTCTTGGAAGACCCAAGGGCATAAAACAAAACAGTGAGGGAGAACCTTCACATCTCCTGAACTGTCTGCCTCGCTTACAAGCCCTGGCAAATCATTTACCCTGTCATTGGGTGTACAAATAAAACCTGCGCCAGTGATTGGCCTGGCATGCACGTCTTCCACCTTTCTTTCTACTTTTAACCTCTCCTGACTGCAATCCCTGATGCATCGATGATGGGAGAGCACCTGCTGTATTTGATTGTTATTGCTAGATCCACAAGGGGAGAGCACTTGGATTCAGTGCCGAAAATTAGTTTATTTAAGCAGAAGGGGAGGAGGGTGCCTTTTTGCTGGAGGAAAGACCTGGAGAAGTTGTGTCTTCATTTCAGGGCAAAGATGGGCAGATTTTGCTTTGGCTGCAATTGCTGTGTTTCTTACAATAGGATGTTTATTTGGTGGAGTGCTTTTCATAGGAACTGTCCCAAAATGCCTTGCAGCATTAGCAGATAGGAGGAAACATGAAATACAAGAAAGCGAAATTAGGTTTTTAACTGTCTTCACATGAGGTGGAGGAGAGTGGATGGCAACATACATGTAGGATCTGTCTACACTGCAATTAAAAACCCGCAGTTGGCTTTGGGGCTGTGTAGACGTTCAGACTCTAAGACTTAGCCAAATGGGAAGGTCCCAGAGATTGTGCTGCAGTCTCAGCCTAAACATCTACGCTACAATTAAACAGCTTCTTTATCCTGGGCCAGTTGCAGGTTTTTAATTGCAGTGTAGGCACCTTCAAGGCCCTTGTTCCACTCACCTCATCTTGTCCCTGATTACAGCTGTGCCAAGTGGGTGTGAAACACTAGGAAATCCAAATTTTACACTCCTTTGCTCAGATGTAAAGTACAACACTGGCAGATGAGAGCAAAGCACCCAGACAAGTGCAAATAATTTTGCTACATGCAAGACCGTAGAGAAGCAGGACCTCTGCCTATGAAATCTGGTGCAGAGATTCCCATTGGTTCTGAGCTGGCAAGCAGAAGTGTAAGAACTGCAATGAATGTGGTTTTCAGCATCAGAGATGTGGAACAATTACTGCAGAGCAGGTATGCACCAACCACTCTGGCTTTGTTGCAGCAGTTTTTGATAAGCAATCTAAGAGTAGTGGGGCTGAAATGTACTGAAAACGGGCATGAAAATGCTGAAAAAGCAAATAGTAAACATCTTTTAAACCTTTCCCTCAGCTGCCCAAAAGGAAGGTGAGCTTTCCCATCATACTTTACCTACTGAGAACGTCCTATTGTTGCTGTGGCTGACATGGAGGTGGTGTGGAGGTGTCAGGGTTTAACAATGTAAGGATATTATTTGATTTCCAGCAATTTCCCTGGAAATGCAGATAGGCTTAAACTCCTTCTCTGCAGTCCCAAACTGCTCACCAGGCCACAGTCAAGTACTGGGGAGGTGGGGGAGGCAAAAGGCAAAATTCATGTAAATAAAACTGAGATGTGGATACCACTGGCATGAATCCGTGTTTCATGTATGTTGTCCAAGCGTTCTCCATATGTATTGCTCTAGTGATCTGCGTTGGTCCTTTACCCCTCTTCCAGTCCTGGTCCCATGTGTTTCTCTGCCAGGGCACCTCCATCAGGACTGTAGCACTCTGCTCCTGTTCACACAGGAGGCTTTTCTTGAGCCTGAGATTACACTAATTACAGCCAAATGTAATTGTCATGTACCGCACCGTACATGACTTTTGTCTCTTGCATCGTAACTTGGTGCAACCAAACTCATGGTCCATTTTGGTCAATTTCATGGTCATAGGATTTTAAAAATTGTAAATGTCATAATTTCCGCCATTTAAATCTGAAATGTCAGTGTTGTAATTGTAAGAATCCTAACCTGAAAAGTTGTGGTACTGCTGCCCTTACTTCTGTGGTTCTGCCTTTGAAGCTACATAACAGAGTGCTGGTTGCTGCCAGGGAGCCCAACTCTGAAGGCAGAGCCTCTACCAGCAGCAATGCAAAATAAGGGTGGCACAGTAAGGTGTTGCTACCCTTAGTTCTTTGCTGCTGACAGGGCACCTTCATAGCTGGGCACCCAGCTAATGACTGATTTTTTTTCTGGCTGCTTGGCTCTGAAGGCAGTGCAGTAGAAAGGGTGGTAATACCATGGCCCTCTTAAAACAATCTTGCAACCCTCCCCAACTCTTTTTGGGATCAGGCCCCTCAAGTTGAGAAATGTTAGTCTCTCCCCAATGGAATTCATCCTGTGACATGTTTTTCATGGCTGTGAATTTGGTTAGGCCCTAACCATTACCTGCTCTGCCTATCATGGGTGTCTCTGCTGCTGTATAGTAGCTGACCTAGAAACACAGCAGGTAATCGGACACTGGCAATGTGTGTGTCTAACGCATGAATCCTTTATGCTGCACTTAACACATTTGCATTTTGTATGGTGGGAAGGGAGAGGGGAGACACTTTTGTTTGACCTCTCCAGGGATGGGTTTATGCCAAGAGGTGTTTACCCTGTCTGAACATGCATAACTAAAACCACTGCTGAATTATGATGATTAACTTGTTCATGTTTCTGAAGTGCTTTGAAGGTGAAGAGTACTGAGCATTATGGGTAATAAAATTAGTTATCAGCCTCTGTCAAATCCAGCTGCAGCAGGCCGCAGCTGTGAATTACACAGGCTAAAGGCTTTTATTTGGTCTGAATGTACTTGTCATTAATTTCAGTAAGTGAACTGCTGAGGGTGGGAAGGGAACAAACAAAACATAAGGGGGATTCTAGATCAATCTAGGAACTGACTGAGAACAGTAAACTCTATGTGGGAGACTTAAAACAGATTTAGGGTGGAAGGGGATGTTTGTAGCACTGCATAAGAGCCCCTTCCTCTCTTGGGAATTCTATGGGTGCTTTCCCTCATTTTCCTTTTGGCTGCTCACTGAGAAATCTTACTCCTTTTAGAAGTGCGCTTCAACTGGAAGGGTTAACTCCTCAGGTGGAAAAAACTATGATGAGTCCAAGAAAAGTTGAAATGCCAGGGTGAGGGGGATGATGCTGTGGCCGTTTCCTGTCACAGCAGACCTTTGAGCTACAACCCTTGATTCTTTCCCTCTAGCCTGGATTTTGGGTGACAGCTTGTCACCATATGTTCCTCTTGTGTTTTTCTTGGTTGCCCTAGTAGAGACACTAGCATGTGGAGCTGCTGCCTTGCTCCTTAATTGGCATTGGGGCACTTGGCTGTAGGCTGTGCCTGGTTGTGACTGGATGGATGATTTCAGACACAACAACCGCCCTGCCCTTTTACTACCCAGTTTCTCCTTCCCCTCCCCATTTGGTTTGGCAGCTGGAGAGAGCCTGGGCCAGGGGCCCAGGAATCTTCTGCTGTTCCGGATGCTGCAGGCTGGGTCAGTGTGGGCTGGACTATTCCTGTCCCCTCTCCCTGCTGTTAACAGCAGCCAATCGCTGGTATCCCCCCTTCTCTTCGCCGGGCCCTGCAACGCACAAAACCCCACCCCACCGCTAGCTGCTGCCTAGGGGCGCTGGGCTCTGTCCTCGGCGCAGGTCCCAAAGGCTGCTGGGGTGCTGGAGTGGATGGGGCGGCCACAGAGCTGGGCCTAGCTGGGCTTAGCCAATGCTCCGCCGGGTGGGGGGCTGCAGTCGCAGCTCTGGCTGGAGGGGCAGAGCCCTCTCTTGCTCGGCTCGCACTATGATAACGCCTAGGCCGCCTCTCCGCCCTGCTGCAGCCTTGCCCGGCTCCGC